AGAGAGTGAGAGAGAGAGAGAGAGAGAGAGAGAGAGAGAGAGAGAGAGAGAGAGAGAGATTCTAAATTTTTAAATTAATAAAAAAAAAGGATATTCCAGAAAGAGAAAGAGAGAGAGAGGAAAAACAAAATGTTGGTACCACTCGCTGTCCTTTCCCCAACATTCACCCTCTACACAAATATTCTCTCCTTCCTTCCTTCCTTCCTAGTTTACCCTTCTTACTTTTGCAATCCAATTCCAATATACTTTCAACTCATTAAGGTATATGTAAGAACTATTTATCAATAATGTTTCAATATTACAATCCATTGGTATCGGAATTTGGTATGCTTATATGGTTGGTAGACGGTGACGTGGTTGTCTCCGTCACCTTCGCGCATGTATATCTTGCAAGAGAAACAAAGCTGCGTCACCTTCGCACATGTATATCTTGCAAGAGGAACAAAGCTGTCAAATGCTTTTAAAACCCAGTTTGGAATGATTTAGAGGATATCTGGTGTTGCAAGATATTGCGTACCTTTTGAGAATAATTTATGACTCCCATCCCTTGCTATAAGGGAGGTATTTGAGAGAACATGCTATGGAAAATTCCTGACACCGTATCGTCGGATTGAGAGTACATCGTAATTAGCCACCTCTAAAGATACTTTGATTAGCGAGGTCATACTTCCACTAAACGTAAGTAGATGTATCTCAGTGGGTGAACCCTACACAATGAAAGTAGCCAAACTAGACTGCTTGTTTTTGGAGCACGTAGACCCTTTCTCCTTAGCCTATCAGATTTGGATTGGACCCACAGCTTTTCGTGGCGCTCAAGGATTTGTCCACATGTCATGTAGAATCCTACCCCATATAACACAACCCAAATATAATGGGGTTTTCCCATTTTATCCAAAATTTTTCGTCCATCCCTTCCTGGCTATCTTGCATGCCCTTCCCAGGATTACTACTTTGGTACACACTTTCACATTGCAACCTCTTTTAAAAATTACTTTTCCTTAAACCAACTCTCTTCTTCCAGTTAAAAACACAATTTTTATGCGTTTTGGTTATATATATTTTCTTATTAAAACTGATTCTTTAGTCTGTTTAATTCAAGTAACCAATGTCAAATTGCATTAAAATTGATTTTTTTTAATTAAAAAAAAACAACTTTTAAATGTGTTTTTACCCATGTTTATAATTGGGAATAACTGTGTATAATTTTGATTATGCAAAATTGATTTAATCACCGATATAACTATAAGACATTTTCAATAAGCTAGTACTTTAAAAATCACTCATTTTAGATGAAAGTAATTTTGACAATGAAAAAAATAATTTTAACCCTTCTCGACATATCTTAAATCTCTCTAGTTAGTTTTATTTATTTTTTTAATTATAAGAGATTCTTAATCACCCTCAATTATTACTTCAAAAATCAGGATTAATTTTCTCAATTTTATCCCAAATGACTTTAACAATGGCACTCCCAAAAAAAGTTTTTCTTAATATTTAAAATATATTCTACCCAAAAAATCACTTAATTAATAAGCCACGTCATTACACACCCCACAAATGGAGGTAGGAGGGGCAATATTGTCCCAACAGAAAAGAAAGTAATATATTTAATTTAATCTTCCCTCTTTGTGTGATCACTGATCAGCAAGAGGTTAATTAAATTTTGGGACTCTTATATATATCCCCACTTTATCCATCTCTATTTTTGCTCTCTTTCTTATATCTCCACTTCTTCTTCTTCTTCTTCTTCTTCTTCTTCTTCTTCCTTGTTGTTCATTTTCTCTGGTTTTTGTTTGAGGTCTCATCAATGGCGGACCCAGCCATTTACGACTTCCTGAGCCAAACAACAACGGATCCAAAACCTTCGAGAAAGTCCCAATCCCAATACTCTTCGTCTCGCATTTTCCCATGCCTTTATTGCCCTCGCAAATTCTACACTTCCCAAGCACTAGGCGGCCACCAGAACGCCCACAAGCGCGAGAGAGCCGCCTCTCGCAAGCCCTTCCACTCCGATCTCCTCCACTTCCCTCCCCACCATATCCTCAACTCGCCGCCGCCGCCGCCGCCGTCGGCCTCGCCGGCCATGGCGGCTTCTTTTCTCGACGAGCATTGGCAGCTCGGCCACCAGAACCACCACCGCGCCGCCCTCTCCTCCGCCTCGACGCCGGAAGACGCTCTCTCCCCCAACGCCGACGCCGTCGAAAACGTCACCATCGATCTCACTCTTCGCCTATAAATCTCTCTCTTCTCTCTCGTTCTCCGGCGACTGACTTTTTTGTTTTTTGACGGTTATGGTGTTTCCACGGCGGCGGACCGGAGTTTTTTCTTTTTTGGAGGGGAGTGATGTGAATAGGAAGGCACGTGCCATTTTGTTTGGGGTTCAGGTTGAGAAATGTTAGGGCAAAATTTGTATATGAGAAATCATATATATAATATGTTATATTTCGAAGTTTCTATGACCTCTTATCCATTTCCCTCTCTCCATATGTGTAATTTTCGCCTTTATTTTGTTTGTCTTTTAGTTCTCTTTTTTTGGGTCGTGTAAATGGATGTTTTGGGATCCCCAGATAATTCCTTCACGTTGAATAAGCCAAAAACAAACAAAAAACTTGATCGGAGAAATTTATTCCGGCGAGAACTTACCTGTCCGGCGACCTAACTTTGTGATGACGTCATATGCTGCCGGCCAGGCAAATGATTTTATACATTACATCAGAGCTAAAATTTTAAACTTAATGCTATATATATATATATATATATATATATATATATAAGGAAGAGAAAATAGAATAAACCAACAGTAAATTTTTTAATGCTAAATATTATTTCAAAAAGGAATTTTAATTGATATATTTTCTCTCCAATGGATGAAAGAGAGTAGAAATTGGGAAAGGGAGGGATTGTGGGTTTTGGGCTGAAAGGAGGCCCAAAATATCTCCTAGGTATCTTGTCAATCATGTGGTGTGACTTTGTACTATTCAGCTCTATCAATGGGAGATTTTTATTAAAAAACATGATAATAAAGATTCCAATTTTTTAAAATTGAATTTAACTTAGGATTCAAAGTTTTCTGATAAGTATTCATAATTATGAGATAGTAAAGAGACTACGTATGTTTATAAATGAAAAAAATAAAAAAAAATAGTAGATTTCAAATTTGACCTTACACCATAAATCTAATCTGAAACCCACTAAACGAATTTTTCAATATTTAGAAGCAATCTTTAATAGCACATGAATTTACAAAGACTTCGAATCTATATCAATTGATTTGGATATTTGTTTTCTGTTCTTCTCTTTTACCACTTAGAGCTGGGGACCTATGCGAGATAAAAGTCTCGGGCACAATTTTGAATGAGAGAAAGAAGTGACGAATGTTATTTTTTACTGTAACTCTCCCCTTCTTGTTATTGAGAGCAGCTGATTCAACTTTGGCACCACTCGAATTTTGGATATATATATATATATATATATATATATATGTATATTTTTTTTTTCTCATCAAACTAATATTTAATTTAGTGTGTAAGCCATTTGTCAAAAAAATATGTATAGTAATTCTTCCTTGATCAAATGGAAAGATATGCACTAAGAGATGAATTTGGTCATTTTTTTTCCTCTCCATTTATTGACCACTAAAAGCACATCTTCATTGACTCAATAATTTACAATAAGCGAAAATCTGAAAATGCACATAATTTTCCAAACAGCACACTAGGAAAAAAGCTGCCTATGAAACATAAGAGAAGAAACATATAGAACTGAAAAAAAACAAGAAAAAACTACCATAATTATTTATTGAAATCACATTGCTGATTTTTCAAACACTGAGTACAAGGTCTCCACATCAATGACTTCAGCATATGAATAAAATTACATCCAAAAATTGGCATCAAAACAGAGCTTTTCACCAAGGGAACAAACCAACAAATCTCTAAGCTGGCTTCTCTGGCATGAAACAATCAGATCTCAAAAGTAGGAATTTCAGATGTGAAGCCATGTTTAGCTTGATGAACTAGACGAGGCCATAACTGTCGGTAAGGATCGCTTTCTCGTTTATTCGTCAAGTATGCAAGACAGTTTTCAACCTCACCCTTCACCTGAAGATATAGTTTGTGGGCGTTCTCTCGGTCTCGTAGTTCCTCTTTTCGCCCTTTTTACATATAACAATTTAAGTATTGGGGTGTATATCACAATTTCGACATCAGAAGAGCACAAGTTCTTTCAGAAAACATACCTTCTGTTTCGAATGGCTTTCCGAAGTAATAATAAAATCTTCCTGGAAGTTTGGGGAGAATTCCAGGGAGGTGGACATCTTGGTTTGCAACTTCCCCACTCATGTCAGCCCTGTTAAAACAGAGACTATTCAGACAAAATATGTAGGCAAGAAAAGTCATAACGCGTTTAGGAATAGATAACTCTCAAGACGAGAAGTAAAAGAACCTCAGCCTAATGGCTTCGCCGGTTAGATCCTCTATTAGTTTTCTAAAGAACGGAACTTTCATCTGGTCTTCATAATCAAAAACCACCTGATGATAAATGAGTAATTTTCCATTAGAGAACAGAATTGAGCAAGCGCCAAGAGATAAAATATTGGACGAATAGGAGGATGCAAAATATTAAATGTACTTAGCATCTCAAGAACACAAAATGCAGATGATCAAACACTATAAGAGCGTGTTTGGATTGTCTTTTGAAGTGTTTATCGATCACTAAAAGTAATTTTTTTAAATTGCTAGCGTATGTTTGAAATTTGAAAAAATGGTAAAAAATGCTTTTGAACCATTGAAGTGCTATTTAAATTTTTTTTGTAATTAAATGTGGTCTGAGAAATTTCAAAAACAGAGATGAAGCATTTAACTAATTTTCTTTCAAAAGTGTTTATATAACACTGTGTTTCACTCGAATACCTTTCAAGACGTACGCTA